GGAGACTGTCTTGGGATGTTTAGTTCAGGAGGCATTTTCAGGATTGGGAGATTGAGGATGTTTCTTGTTTTTTGGAGCTGTTGTATAGCCAGGTGATTTCTTTTGGGGAGCCGGATTGGTGATTCTGGATTCCTAACTCGCAAGGCCGTTTTGAGGTTAGGTCCTTTTTCAGAGGTCTTTCGGTTGGTCATGGAGATCCCTTCCCTTGGAACTCTATTTGGCGGTCCAAGGCTCCCCATAAGGTCGCTTTTTTTGCTTGGACCGCTGTCCTGGGTAAGATTTTAACCCAGGATAATCTGAGGAGGAGGAATCAAGTGGTGGTCAATCATTGTTACATGTGTTTGTGTAATGAGGAGTCAGTTGATCACCTCCTTTTACATTGCAGCATGGCCAGAGATTGTTGGGATTTGATGCTTCGATTATTTGGGGTCCATTGGGCCATACCTTTTTCCTCTAGAGGGTTGATTGAGGCTTGGAGAGGCGTCTCTGTTGGGGCTGGCATTAAGGATGCTTGGAGGGCTACGCCGCTTTGTATCTGGTGGTGTATTTGGCTTGAAAGAAATAGGAGATATTTTGACGGAAAAAAGAAGCCTGTTTTTATGCTTAAGTTCTTTGTTATTTCTACTCCTTTTTTGTTGGGTTTCAGAGAGAGATTATAGATCTATGGAGGGAATTATTGTTTTCTTGGCCTCTCTGAAGGTCTAAGGCACCCTTTGGCCCTTTTGTTTATTCGGGCTTCGCTCCCCTTTTGAGCGTTTTTAATAAATTTTTACTTATCAAAAAAAAAAAAAAAGTGTGGGGAAAAGGGTTAGGCTTGATGAGGGTTGGGTGGAATAGAGTTGTGAGATAGTTGTTTCAGCTTTGTAAATAGTGAGCTCCTAAGAAGCATGAGTAATTCTCTAAGGGAATGGTATCTGTATTTGTGATATTGTGGCCCGAATTTGGTGCCGGGTCGCGTTACGACTCGCTTATAACGCGATGACCTGTTGGAGGAAAATTTTTGACCCGTTTTTTTCAAGGGTCATGGACATTAGTTAGTCTCTTGGCCCGATATATAAGGGCGCTTAGGGTTTGGAGTGGTGGACAAGAGACTTTGATATTCGTACAGAATCAGAGTGAGGGGCTGAAAACTTGTAATTTCCGATTTTACACAGTGAAAACTTTCGCCGGATCCCTACCATGGACGTAGGTTGTTGCCGAACCACGTATAAATCTTTGTGTTCTTTGTGTGGCGTGTTTAATTTCTGTCGTGATTCAACTTGGGTTCGTTTCGTTTGTCATAATAGTATTGTATATGTATTAGATGCTAGATGGTCCCGATAATCCTCGAATACTTATTGGTAGGTGTCATATACTACTTAACATATCCATAATTTGATTTGTTTATTTATTTTTTCTAATTTTGAATGTGTATCTAGTACTTTTCAAATACTTGAAGTCATTAAGGAGGCTTTTTGATTTATTAATTAAAAGTTAAGGAGGCCATATGAAAGGTAACCAACTTCTGGTGCAACTATTTAATTAGAAGTCATTAAGGAGGCTATTTGATTTATCAATTAAAAGTTAAGGGGGCCATATGAAAGGTAACCAACTTCAGGTTCAAGTGATCTATTGAGGATATTACTTCAGGAGCAAAGCGTAGTTACTCTATTTCAATTCCATCCTTCTTGCTAGAACACAATGAAACATGTGAATTATGGTTGCGAAGGTTTTGATATTTTGTTGCTCAGACTAGCCAACCACGAGAATTTAAATATGGAACACAAAAATTACCTGCATTGAACGAATGAGATATTTCTTCTCTTCTCTTTTTCCAAACAAGAAAGCAAAATGGTTGGATAGATTTTGGCAGGTTTCACCAATTATAGATTTCGTCATTGGATGTGGAAACACTTCGGTAACGTTAATGAAGTTGTAAAGGATTCAAAGTTACTGATTAGTTAAATGTTAAGGGCACTCAGCTCAAAGTATTACTGGAGACCTTTCCAAAACTGCTATAGTTTTTTTTTTTTTTTTTTAAACCTTTTTGGCTCCCATCTAAGCCTGACATGACATTGCTGAGTTGTCCTCACACTTGGTTGTGGCTTTGTGAACAATGACCTATCCATTTTTTTTTTTTTGCTCTTGTGTGTGTGTGTGCACTTGCTTTGTAGTCAGGAGTCCAGATTACTTGTAAGTTGTTGTCTTTGTCATCATCAGTCATCGATTGTTCATTGTGAGGGACAATTCTGTCATTCAATCTCCTCTCTTAGCATGGGGATGAATCAAGGGACATCAAAACTGCAATCCCTATGCCCTGACATGGGACAGCCTGATTGGAAGATGGGGACACTACCCAGGTGGGAACACTAGAAAAGCCACACCTTCAAGGAACAAAGTGTGTCTCTTTGTGGTGTGATTTATGTGGCAATGGACGTCTGAGACATCTGTTTAGCACACGTCGGAGCTTTGGAGGAGGGAGGAGTTTAAGCAAGTGGGTGTTACCTCTCTATTGCCTCTTACCACCACAGATTCTAAGCAAATGAGCGTTACCTCTCTGTCGCTTCTTACTACCACAACCACCACCACTACTAGTTTTTGGGCCCACAGACTTGACTCTCACACACGTGTGTGCACGCACACACAGAGAGAGGAAAGAAACGGCACCATATTTGTCATTACATAATTAGGGCATCTCTCTCCAAATCACATGAGTACGGTTTTATTTCCATTGTAACCGATGATATAAATACAAAACTACAAAATACAAGTGGCAACCCGAGTCCACAGTCCTCAGACAAGTCTCCTATTCTTCTTTGCTTCTGTTCTAATGCTTTGTTTTCCGTCCATTGTTTTTGTTGTTGTTGGTGTTCTTAAGGCGAAAATCACCATTCAATAATGAAACAAGCTTGCTTATCTTACCCCAATTATTTAAGGTAAAGCCTCCGACTTCCTTTTCAGCTCTGTGTTTTTCTTTTTCTTTTTTGTGATTTAGTTGATTATTAATTTGTTTCACATTGTTGTTTGATTTCCTGAACCTATTTGAATGGCTATGTTATGTATTTGTATACTGCAAGTATGATCCCCAAAGGGGATTTTCTGTCATGTTGCTGTTGCCTCTGAAAGTGATCCGTTGTTATGAGTTTTTTCAGTCTGTTTTCTAAACTCTCCTTTTCTTTTCTTTTCTTTTTTCCTTCTTATGTTTTTGTGTTTTTTTGTTTTGTTTTTGCTTTGGGTACTGGATTACAAATACTAAATAGAGGTAAGTATATAGATAGTTTTAGATGCAAAAACCTTGTTCTATCTGTTTTAGTTTTGTAGTTCTTTCAGGCATCAGAATGGCAAAACTGTTATTTTAGACCAAACTTCAATTTTAACTGACCAGTCTCCAGGGGTACATCATCCATCTATGCTGCCTTGAGAAGGAATAACCTCTCTCACATAACTTTTGTGTTACTCTCCTTGACAATCATCCACCTAATCTCCTTTGTTTTGAATTCTTAATCCTAAAGCTCCATTTAAGGAGGGAAAAGAAAAATAGAATACCTGATTCACCAAAAGCTCTGATCTCATTGGAACCTATTTGCTTCATGAGAAATCATGAATGCCTTATGATTAATATTCTTGATTTGAGCGTAAGTCATTGATTATTTATTTAAAATAATTAGTTTTTTCTAGACCTTTTGCAAATTTCTATCTTCATAAAGTAAAGATTGACTTGGGTGTTTTTGTATGTTCGTGTTCCTAGGAATACCTATTTGACGAAGAGAAAAGTTGTTTCAACTTTGACTATCAGGACTATTGTAGACCTACTAAAAGCTACATTTATTGACCCGATGGCACAGACTGACTCATTATACAGTCCATGAACCACCACTTAAGCCTATGTTTAACAAACTTAAATGTTACCAAGAAGTAAATTAACCTATGGAAACATAAAATGACGACTCAAATTATACCAATACACAATTACTTAAGGTCCCAATTGCTATGGGAATGAATTTAACTTGCCTTTTTCTTGTTCTCGTTCTTGGCATTAGGTAGGTCAAGGCATCTCACCTTCCTAGATCAGGAAGAGTTTTACCTCTTAATTTTGGATTTTGTAGAATATCAACTCTAGAAAAAATATGCCCATGCCCTTTTACAACCAATATGCACCTCGAGCTAAAATATCCTTTTTCTTTATTTTCTCTATTTCAATTCCTTCCTTAAAAGGAGAAACTTCCCCCAAAGAGGCCAGTTTATTAGAAAGTAAAAATTGAGGCCATTTGATTTATTTATTTAATTTTTTTTGAAGCTAAGGAGCCTATTTGAAAGGTAAGCAACATAAGTGGCAATTGGCAAATTACCAACTGAGAATACTACTTCAGTAGCATTACTCCTTTTCAATTCCATCCCTCTCAGAATACAGTGGAACAAGCAAATTATGGGTTGTCATGGCTTTAAGTATTTGTTGTTTTAGACTAGTCAACTACCAGAATTAAATAATTTAGAAAGGAGAAACAAAGTTGCCTGATTGGTGGCAAAATTAGATCTTTGGATGGAAAAGTATGACCTCTTCCTTCTCTTTTATTTTTCAAACCAAGAAACATAAATTAATTGAGAAAAATTCTGGAGGATTCAGCAATTATAAATGTGGCCGTTGGTTGCATTAATGCTTGGTAAAATATTTGTGAACGTCTAAACTAGCAAAAATTAATTATCATTAAAGGCATTTGGCAAAAAGCATTTACTATGAACTTTCCAAAACCGCTGTAGTATTTCTTTTTCCTTCTTCACTTGACCTCAGACTGGCCTGACCTGGATGTGTCCTCACAGTTGGCTGTACCCTTGTATTCAATGACCTATCTATCCTCTCTCTCTCTCTTTCCTTTTTTTTTTTTTCTTTTTTTCTGTACACTTTCTCTGTATAGAGGACTGAGGAGACCTCAGCATTGTAGTATTTATCATCATCAATCATCAATCCATGATCATGTGAGGGACAATTCTGTTACTCCATCTCTTTTCTCTCTCTCCTGCAGGTGGGGCGTGAGAGATTAGTTGAGTGACGTCAACTGGGGCAATATTTATGCCCTGATATGGGGTATCCTGATTGGATGGTAAGGACGCTGCTCAGGTGGTCACAATAGGAAAGTCAAGTGTTTATGGAAGCTTGTGTTTCTGGTCGGGGTGGGGGTTGAGGTGGCAATAGGCATCTGAGACGTCATCTGTCCAGCACATGTCGGAGCTCTAAAAAAGGAAGGAATCTAAACAACTGGAACATTATTTGTCTATCGCTTATTACCACCGCCAGTACCAGTACTAGTTCTTTTGCCCATAGGCTGACTCTGACACGTGCACATACGCAGAGAGTAAAGACTGGGCATCACATTTGTCATCATAAAAGCAAAAGTCGTCTCTATCCAATGAGTTGGGTGCAATTTTTTTTCTGTCATAGCTGATGATATAAATACATATAGCAACCTAAATCAACAGTGCTGACACAAGCCCCTTATTCTTCTGTGCTTCTATTCTACTGCTTCTTTAGTTGTTGCCTTACCCACCGTCTGACAAGGTAAAGCATCTGTCTTCCTTTTTATCTTTATGTTTTCCTTTTCTCCATTTCCATTGTAGTTTAATTATTAAAATGTTTCTCATTATTATTTGATCTCTTGAATCTGTTTGAATGGCTACACTATATGTATATGTGGGTGCGCTCTGATTGTGATCTCAGGAAGGAAATTCCTGTCAAGTTGCTATGGCCTCTGAAATTTATCTGCCTTATCTCTTATTCTTAAAAAAGCTCATTTTCTTTTCCCTCAATCTTTCTTCTTCGTTCCTTTTTTCCTTTCCCAGCTCTTCTGAGTATTGAAGTAAAAAAAAATAATAATAATAAACTAAAATCTACCAATAAATAAATAATTTCAAAACTTTTACCCATATCTATGTGTCAGACTTTTGTAGTTCTTTCAGGCGTCATGAAAGCCATACCATTATTTAGGGAAAAAAAACTAAGATTGTTTTCATTTTTAAATGACTGCTCTTTTAGGGAAATCTTCAATGCATGCTGCCTTTAGAGGTAAACGAACTGCCTCACGTTACTTTAATTTTACTCTCTTTGACAATTTAAGAGTCTCTTAGCTTCTCATGCTTAATTCTAATATTCTAATTCAGTGATAAAGAAAGGTAATGCAAACAAAAAGAAACACAAAAAGGGGTAGAAAACCTGATTCACTCTGATCTGATTAGAATCTATTTGTTCCATGAGAAATCCATAATGTCTTTTGGTCAAGTCATTGATTCTCTTCCAAATTAGCATTCTTAAATGTATAATGTGTCATTAATTTTTTATATGAAATAATGATCTTGATAGATTCACAGCCTTTTGGATTTTCAACCATCATAAGGTAAACAATGAATCAATTATCACTTAGTATTTGAGCTTTTGTAATCTTACTGTGGGAATTTATGTGATTCAATGTCATGAGGAAGCTATAATGGAAGGTTCAATGTTAGAATGTTCAAGGCATGGCTGATGGCACTGTTACGTGTGCAGAAAATCTCCAGCAGTAAGTTTGGTTGTGAAATACATACTGACAAAGGCTTTACGGTGTTATGCCCACCCTTCCTCCATAGTAGAAAGAAAACATTTAATTTTTGGTTTTGTTTTAAGTGTGCTTGTTTTGTACTATTTCAGAGCAGTATCTTTATTGTGACCATCAAGAAATCTTATTTCAATTCAATGGTATGGGATAAAAGATTTGTATCACCTGCTTGTTAAGTTCCTTAGAGTGTGTAATCATGTGTAAGTCCCACCTTCCTTCCTTCTCCCCCCATGTATGGATACCACATGTTGAAGCAAAGTTGTAGTTTGTTCATGAGATAATGATTGTGATGGAGAACTGGGCCTGGCCCGAGAGGTTGAAAACCACATGGCCCACACCTACTATTGGAGACGTGGGAAAGAAAGATAAAATTAGGGATTTTTGTTTATTTATTATTATTATGGAATATTTCAACAATTTAGGGTTTTATTTATGGTAATAGGTTGATTAGGGTTTTTCTTCGATACCTATTTATATGTTGGTTTAGACATTGTGAAAGTCAGCTTTTGATGATTATTATTGATATTGAATTTTGAGATTATCATGATTTCTTCTCCCTCTGAATTCTTCTCTTCTGATTCCTCTTCCCTCTATTCTTCTTCCCTTTCTCTCTCAATCTCTTTCTGATTCTACTTGAATTCTGATTTCGAATTGCCCCTACCTGCTGCTGCATCAGATTGATTGAAACCTTGCAATTCAAATTATTTGAACCATTTGACCTTTGTCGAGCATTATGAAGATTACATGTAATAGATGGATGAATAAATTTTGTTTGTTCATTAATATCTAGAGCCATATGTTTCAAATCCATAATTTTTACGGGTAGAATCTCACCAATATTGAAAATCATGCGCTTCAAAATTCATTATCTGCAAGAACAATCATGATTGTGACTAGGAAGGAACCCATCCTTTTGAAAATCTCTATATAATCAAAATAACATGCACCTCCTATTGTTGGTAGAAACTCAATATACTGTGTCCCTATCACCATATAGGAAACAGTAATTTCAAAGTAAAGGCCCCCTAGGTGGACACTTGGTTGTCCCATGTTTTTATGCCCAATCCCATTACTGTATCCAGAAACTTATGTGATTACTCAAATGCAAATCCTCTAAACAATGACTGAAATAACCTTTTGGTTTTTTAAGATGAAAAAGGATATCATTTATGCATGGTAGCTTGTCAAAATATACATTTTGTTTAGATCTTGCAAAAATTCCGGCATCCTGGCCTTTTTGGTTAAATCACTCTTGAAACATAGGCATTGTTTTCAATTTGTAAGGTGGTACAGACGTCATGCTTCATCATATCATCTTATTAACTGGAAGCTTTGGTGCCTTTAAGCTTCTTAGTAAAATTTGTAGTAATGCAAGAAAATGGAGGACAGCTCCTTAAGAAGAAAGCGTAAGATACCTTTGTCGATACTCACATGTCTTTGGGTCAGAAAAAGCACTGGTTTAGGGTAACGTTTGGTTCTTTGAGCAGTACAAATGTAGGAAAAATAAGTGGGTGGAAGAGATAAATAATGAAAAGAATGATCTTACTGTTGTAGTGATGCATGATAGCTTTAGAAAACTTGGAGAATACCTTCTATGGTTTAGTTTTATGGTGGGCTAATGTTATGTAATGCTGTAGGTTTATGGCTAGAAAACAGGGGGAAGACAGATTGTAGGCGTTCTTGATAAAAGGGATGGAATTGGTTTGGTTTACAAGTTATGGACTGTTAGAATTTCACAAAATTGGTTTCACAGAATTTTATTTGTTATGGGTTTGGGGTGGTGTTTTATGTGATAGATAAAGGGAGGAATTGTTTGAACTTTCAGTAGTAAGACCTATTATACGAGATATTCTGCACCTGCTATAAGCTGCATATGAAGACCTATTATACGGGACATTAAGCACCACTATAATGTCTCAACTTACCCTTTTCTTGTTCACTTGCTTGGCGTCATGTATGTGTTGAGACATATCATCTGACGTGAACCAGAAGAGTTTTGTTTGTTAATTTTAGGATTTTGTGGATGTTACAACTAGAGAATGTATGCCTTGTCACAACCTATATGGACCTTAGGAGCTGATCATTCTCTTCTTTTTTTTTTTACTCTATTTTGATTTCTTCCATAAAAAGAATCTTTTTATCCTTTATATAGCTTTTTAAAAGGGATACCTAATCAGAAAATTAACAAGGTGGGAATTGATTTATTAAAAAAAGAAAAAAAAAAAAAAGTTTTGGAGGCTATTTGAAAGTTAAGTACAAGATGTTACTTCAGGATTAAACTAGACAATTAATCTTGGTAACATGCCTTACCATTTTGTCTCCTTTGCTTTCATAATGCATACTTCTAGATTATTCTTCAAGAAAGAAAATCTGATATTTTCTGGTGATAGCAATTATCTGGGATTTGGTCCCATTAAAGATCCTTTTTATTTTATTTATTCTATTTTATTTTTATGTAAATTTCAGTCTGTTCTGAGTTTGTCTTGGAGTACAATTAGGTGTTCTCCAAGTCACCAATATGCTCTCATGTCATGTTGAATGATGCAAATCAAGAATGGTGCCTTGAAAACTGTCTTATAGTTTAATGAGGTTAAGATATCTATAAAAGGTACTAATTAAGGTTTGGAACTACTAAGTGTTAGCTTAGGGAAATTGTAAAATGTTATTAATGTTGTGTGCGGATTCTAAAAGGCATTCTAGGAGAAATCAGGAGACATTAGTAGTTATATTATATAAGGGGACCTCTCTCTCTCTCTTTCTCTCTCTCTGTTGAAACAAATCTTAAATCAATATAATCTTGAGATATTTTTAGATTACTCACTTCTCTTAAGTCTTTTCCCAGATTTTTCTTTAGAAATCTAGGCTCCAATGGTGATTAGAGTAATTCTAATCTTTCTTACGATTGTAAAAAGACTTTTTTTTTTATCTCTGTTGCTTCATTGAAGTAGCACCAAGTGGAGATAAAATGAGAGAAAATTGGATATGTGCATAGAAGACCTTTAAGTGTGCCAGTTAGGAAGAGTGACACTGTCCTTGTTGAGAGTAATGTTAGGCAAAGGGGAATGCCAAAATTAACGTGGGTAGAGTAAGTAAAAAAAGAAAATGATAAAATGTGGTTTGATTGAAGTTATGACCTTAAATAGTGCATAATGGCATATAGCTGGGCCCAAGTAGTTGGGACAAGGCTTTGTTTGCTGTTGTTATTGTTGTCGACCTCTTCTTATTCTGCCTTCTTTCTGATGAACTAGTTATGAATTTCACACACAGTAGTTTTACTTTGAGTTCCTAGTGTAGGATTTTGGATTAATTAATCAAAGCTCTTTAACTTGTTGAAAACATTTTGAAGCAGTAGTTCCAAAGTGCATGTGATTGTAACTCGTGCCATTGATTATAATTCTGCATCTTGAAACAGGAGAGTTTAGAAAGATTTATGATGTTAGTATGTATAAGGAATCATTGTAGATGCAAGGCATTCAAAACTAGATATGCATTTTTTATTATTTATTAAGATCACAGTTGTCATATTGTCGATTTTCTATATCGTCCTATGTTCTCTTTATTGTAATTTTTTATTTTTGGAATACATTACTTATAGTGCCTTTTTTCGTCTATATGTAAATTATTTATGATGTCAATGGTTGAATTCGGTGGACTATGGTTGAACTGCTCTGTATAAACCTGTGTTTTTTATGTTGTTGACATTCTTTTTCATGGTGAAACTTATTGCTCAGTTGTAGCATTTGATTTTTCAGGACCAAATTCTAGACCTCGAAGCTGTTTTGCAGGCCTACCTTGTTGGAAATGCTCGACTCAGACGTGAGCTTTTCATGATTCTCGGATAGTTCGAGTGTTCATTCACATCTCTACTATCAATCTTGATCAGTATAAAAGTATTGGAGTTTGTTATAATATTACTTGGTGAGGAGCAATAACCCTTGTGGAAGAACGAAAAAGTAAAAGCAAAAGGAAAAAGAAGGTTGATTGGTCAGTTTTGCAATACATTCTGTACCTTAGGACTGATTAGCACTTATTTAGGGTTTCAAGATCCGTTTAATAAAAAATGGCTGCAAATCAAGTCTCCATTGATGTTCATGATCATGGTATAGTTGTCGATCGGAAAAGGGGGAAAGTTAAATGCAATTATTGTGGTAAAGTTATGAGTAGTGGGTTCTCACGCCTTCGTTACCATTTAGGAGGCGTAAAGGGAGATGTATCTCCTTGTATGGAGGTTCCTGCAGACGTGAAGGAACTAATGAGAAACCAGCTACTTGAATCGAAACGAGGAAACTTGAGCGAGGAAATTGGGGAGCTCCGCCACCCAAATCTTCCTTGGAAGAGGAATTGGTCTCCTCACTCAAATGGTGATGGTAATATGTTGGAAACCACTCAAACAGCTAGGTGTGGGAGCAAAAAGCGGGCTAAGGTGAACTCTACATCAAAAAGCAGTGAGATGGCATCTGTTTCTTTTTCTGAGGGAAATATAGGTTCCCTAGCAGCCACCAATGCAATTGAAAGTCCATTGTCACGGGAAGCTCAAAAATGCATTGGTAGATTCCTTTATGAATCTGGCATTGATTTTAATGTGGTGAAATCTCCTAGCTTCCAAAAAATGATTAACGCCACCCTAGCTTGTGGTAAAGCTGGATGTAAGATCCCCACTCCTCAGGGTTTGAAAGGGTGGATCCTTCAGGAGGAAGTAATAGACATGCAGCGGTATGTGAAGGAGATCAGAGATTCTTGGAAAAGCACTGGATGCAGCGTCCTATTGGACGGATGGATCGATGGGCAGGGTCGAAACCTGATCAATGTTCTAGTGGATTGCCCAAAAGGCCCTATATATCTTAGGTCATTTGATATTTCAGCCTATGTTGGAAATGTTGATGCCTTCCTGTTGTTTCTTGATGAAGTTATTGGGGAGGTTGGGGTTGAGAATGTGGTACAAATTGTTTCATATTCTGCATCAGATTGGATGGAGGCCGCAGGTAAGCAATTTATGGAGAAACAAAGGACAATCTTTTGGACAGTGAGTGCATCTCATTGTATAGCACTGATGTTAGATAATATTGGAGCCATGGCTCTTATTAAAGGGGTATTGGAGGACACCAAAATAATTACAAAGTTCATCTACAGTCATGCCGCAGTTTTAGAGCTTCTAAGATATCATACTGATGGGTGTGACCTAATTATGCCCTCCAAGATTAGGTCAGCGATGCCCTTCTTGACTCTAGAGAATATTGTGGTAGAGAAGACGAACCTAAAGAAAATGTTTGTCTCTTCTAAGTGGAATACCTCAATCTGGGCTTCTAGCATGGAGGGGAAAAGAGTAGCTAATTTAGTGGCAGGCAGCTCTTTCTGGTCTGGAGCCACAATGGTTTTGACGGCAACTATCCCACTGGTGCGTGTTTTGGAATTAATAAATGAGGATGACAAGCCAAAACTTTGTTTAATATATGAAACAATGGATCAAGCTAAGGAAACAATTAAAGAGGGATTTAGAAACAAGGAAGAGAAGTACATGCCGTTCTGGGAAGTAATTGATGAGATTTGGAACCAGCATCTCCACAGTCCTCTTCATTCTGCTGGTTACTATTTGAACCCAGTTCTTACTTATTCAAGTGATTTCTCCGTTGATGTTGAGGTTTCCGGTGGCCTATTGTGCACCATTGTCCATATGGTGGAAGATAAACATGTTCAGGATCTGGTTATGTTACAAATTGATGAATATCGAAAGGCTAAGGGTGCCTTTGGTGAAGGATGTGCCATTGATCAACGATTGAATGTTCCTCCAGGTAGCAGAAATCTATTGTGTCCTCTTGATTGTTTACATCTTTATCTAGTTTGATTCATCTCTAAATTAAGACTCTGATTTTGTATCCTCTAAAATTTGTTTGCAGCTGATTGGTGGTCCTACCATGGAGGAGAATGTCGTGAACTGCAGAGAGTGGCCATTCGAGTGCAAGGCCAGACATGTGATGGTGCTTTAAAATATGGGCTCAAGAGGACATTAGCCGAGAAGCTGCTCACAAATGGAAGGAATCGTATCGAGCAAAAACGATTGACTGATCTGATATTTGTTAATTATAATATGCAGTTGCGTAACTTCAAGTTGGGTCTTAGTGACGGCATGGCGATTGAAGAAATTGACCCAATGGATGATTGGATTGTTGATGAATCAACGTGCATGGATGTGGATGTGGATGGTGGAGATGCAACCACCACCTGTGGAGGGGCTATTAATGTAGCAGGGCCTTCTACTTTACATATAAAACAGGAGGAGCCAAGTGAGTAGATATTTTTAAAAGAAAGTGGAAAAGGGAAGGACTTAAACTAATCTTTCATGAGCTCACTCAGTTCTTCGTTTACACACACACATTGTTTTACATTCAATGACAAAGATGATCATACTTTTTGTTTCGGTAGTGATAACATTTTTGATACGAATATTCGGTAACACCTGCTGCAGAATTGGGTCGGATAGCTTGTTTCGATCCAGAAGGATTGATCTTGATAAATTCCTCAGAAGAAATGTTGAGTTATTATTATTATTATTATTTGGGTAAAGTGCAAATAATCCCCCTGGAGTATTGGCCATGTGCAATTAATCCCTCTGAACTACAATTTGCCTCCTTGAACTATTAAATTTTTGCAATTAATCCCCTGATGTGACATATCTGGCCAATTGGTTATAACGGAAATAGTGAAAGACAATTTTAACCCCCCTAGGAAAGTGCTACACTTGTAGCCAAACAGGCCTAATTTTGCTTTCCTCTTTCTTTGGTTATATATAGAGATAAATATATCATATATATATATATATAGAGAGAGAGAGAGAGAATTAACGCTGGAGACCACAGCTTCACAACGCCGAAAATTAGAGACTGTTCCGGCGATGTACGAGTAGTGAGTTCACTCCACCGTCCTCTCCACCGCCGACCGCCACCATTCGAAGCCAAGCTCGTAGCCGTTCAGTCCCGCTGACTGCCATCAAACCCAATCACGGCCGAGCTTCTTTATAATAGCCCATCACCGGAATCGTGACTTCTTTAGTCGCTGATTTGCTGCCGTCCTGAACCAGCCGTCTCCAGGCCGAGCACATCGCCGCAAGCTCACCGTCGAGCTTCGCCTCATCCGTCGCCCTCCCCGTTTTGAGCTCACCGCCGCCTCCATCACAACCGACACCATCAAAGCCAAGCTAGCCGCCGCGAGTTCACCATCACAGCTCGCTGCTCACCGCCCCAAGCTCTCCACGGCTGAGCCAACAGCCAAGCTCTCTACGACCGACCGATTCTTGCCCGCCGTCCATCTCCACCAACAGCCAAGGAATTCTAGGGCACAATGATTTAGAAATTTTCAATTTTGTTTATATTTTATACAATTGACAGTGTTTTATGTTTTCATGTGTCCATGGAGGAGTGAATTTTTTTGGAAATTTCTCAATTTAGGGTTATAAATTTGATTTGTCTTCAAGAATTTCCTTCAAATCGGAAGCTGTTCAGTCAAGGATGCATTGACCCAACTTCTGATTTTTTTTTTTTTTAATTATTATTATTATTATTTTTGGGATAAATTAAAGTTCATGAAGTAGATTCATTTGGGTTCATGTTTAACCGTCCTTGTAATTTGGGTTGAAGATGACGATTGGGGTGGTGGTTGACAATGAGGGTGTGTGTATATATGTGTGTGTATTCATGATGGATATAATATAGAAAAAGAGAGAATCAGAAACTTTCACGGGCACCAAAGTTGTAGGTGGTTGATGATAAGGGCATTGTGGTCTTTTAGCTTCATAAAGGGTTGTATGGTCATTTAAAAAATTTGGGTTGTCATGTGACAGGCATGTGCTTCTTCACGGTCAAATTCAATTGGTTTATCACTGGACGAGGTTGATTGCAACAAATTGGTTAGTTAAGGGGGGTTATATACCAAATTATTAAATCAGGGGGGTTTCCTGCTATATGGCCAAGGGGTTCTTTTACACTTTACCCTTATTATTTTGTATGGAAGTAATAAAGCTATGGATTATTGGTGGAGGACAAATTTGTCATTTCAAGTTCCCCTCAAGTAATATTACCCTTTTTCTGGTGTTCATGTGCATAAAAGAATTTTGGTGATGGCAGGGTTGGAACGATTACAGTGTGATCGATTGTAACTTGGTTCGATCGATCAGAGAAGACTTTTTTACCACTTTGTTTCCACTTTGCTCCTTTCTTCCACTAGGGACCCAGAGAGGAAATTAGTTGTGATAAAATAGACTGGGGTTGGAGACTTGGAGTTTTGTAGGTGTCGTTTACTATTAATGGTTTTGCTACTAAGCACTAAAGTATGCTCCATCACTCCCTAATGTGACAATGTCTCTGCATAGATAGGACAATAATGCACCCACTTTTTTATTTTATTTGTGTATATATGTGTGTGTGTGTGTGTGTGTGTGTGTATTTAATATATATGTGTAGATATGTCCAGTGCACCAACTATTTGGGTACAGAAGGGAGTATGCTCGCCCCCGGGGGCTTGGCAGTGATGGTAGGGACTCGGGACTGGCATCCAATCGGCTAGTGTTCGACTCCTACCAAGCCTTCCAATTTCTCCGACTTACTCGGTGTATCCTTGGGGCGAGACTCTGTACTCCCAGGTTTGTAGCCTAGGGTGGGTCCCGAAGGGGCCTTGCCTAGGTGAGTTCCTGGTGCTAAAAAAAAAAGTAGTATGCTCAGTCGATACATAGTTTAAGTAGTACTGTTCTGAACTACCTTAATTATATAATGTAATATAATAATAATATATATTTTTTCATTGCGCGCGCACACACATATATATATTGATGAAATATCAAATGTATTCGATCCTTTATAATATGAAATAGGATTTGTTTTCTAAGTAACACAATTATAACAATTTATTTTACTTTCTCACCTAATTTATATTTGGATGAGGGTTATCCTTCAAGCTTTCATGGCATGTTTGGTATGCAGAAATGGAATGAGGCAATAATGGAATGCAAGTAGGAATGGAAGATAATTTTTATTTCACTGTTTGGCTGCAAACAGAGAATGATGCAGTAGTGGAATGACCATTCCCATTCCCCTGTTCAGACTAATTAATAAGCTGAAATAGAATAACTTTTAAATTAGTTTCTCCATAATACCCTTACTTATAATATATCAATTATATTAGCGAAATGACATATTTTATTATTTTAAAATAGAATAAAATATAACTAGCTTATACCAACTAATGCATTTTTGTAAAATCTATGAAAATTATAATTACCTTACAAAATGTAAGAAAAATGTACTAAAATCTTGATGAATTCAAGAAAATCTATTAAAAATTTAATAAAAGGCTAACAATTTGTTGTGAACCCAGGACCCCAAAAATAATTGCTTTTATTTATTGTAAACCCATCATATTAGAGCCCTAAAAAATAATTACATTTTTGCAGAAGAATTCACTTGGGTTTTTACTGTGCTTTAGTCCAAAATCCGGCATAGGGAAGACATCTTTTACCTGATCCAAAAGCCGATATGCATTCATACTTAGTAAAAAGTGTTTACTATCAAAAATGCCTGTGGCTTTTTCGATCAGTAATTTTTCCAAGTCAATGAATTTAATTTAAAGTAACTGAGCGTACATAATTTACAGGTTGAAGACTCATTTGGGCATAGATCTCATCGGTATCTTTGTCTGCCTATCAGACAATTAGGAAAAGGGTAAGAGCAGAGAAGATGCTCTAAGAAACATATAGAAATGTTTTTCAATGTACGAACTCTAGAAATAGAGAAAGGAGAAGTATCAATTGTAAGCACATACATGTTGCGTAACATTGTGAACTTGGCACCTCAATTGAGATGGGAGATCTGGATAGTTAGGGATTAATTTGTGAGGTTGCAGTTCTATTTATCGTAGAGAGAGAGAGAGAGCAACCTTGTTGGTAGATTTGTCTGAAACAAATTCAAAAGGAATTTTGGTACCGCAGAGGGAGAGACCTTGGTGGTAGATTTGCTTAAAACAAAGCCAAAGGGCATTTTTTGTATTTGATTTATTTTATATTATTTTATTATTAGTGGGAATGAAATTGTCATTTCATTTCTCAAGAAATGGAATGAGCATTCCACCTTTTCTATGAATGGGCATTTCCTTGGAATGGTCATTCCACTTTTAATGTGATATGCCAAACAAGAGAATGGAAACAAAAACATTCTATTCCAGTTTCATTTGATTCCATTCACTCACACCAAACAGGCTTCATTGAATGCATCCTTTACAATTGAATGCATCTCTTAAGTTTACAAATTTCGTTTAAAATTTGAAGAATATTTTTATATTATAATACAAGGGGAAGAGTTTATTTTCACTATTTGCAGGATAAGAGATTACCAAAGCCACCAATTAAGAAGTCAAGTGTTCGATCTTTCCCTGGGCAATATTGTAAAAATAAAAATTAAAAACTGAGAAGTAGTTTTCTCTCTCTCTCTCTCTCTCTCCTCTCTCTCTCTCTCTCTCTAGCAGTTAGTAAGCAGCTACATGTTCTATCTGAATCAAAATGAAAAATAAAATGCCTTTCCATATAATAAAATTTCATAAATCAAATTTCCTACAGTAATGGAAGCCAGCCTAGTACATTGAGCTACTTTTTTATTTTTTCATCTCCAACTATTTGAATTTTAATAATTTATTTTCTAAGGTGTTGTGTCTGTCTTGGGCGTACATTGTTTACTTCATGGACACCCTTGAATATGAGTTTCACACATCATAATCGTGTCCACAATTTAATAACAACTTTTATTGTTTCGGATTTTAAATGACACATCGTCTTGGATGGACACTTGATCGATGCATCTCAAAATTTTGATTAACATATTCTGAATAGTCAACCAACACATCATACACTATTCATCTCATATAAAATTGTTTTATATGATAGCTGTTGAGGGTGAAATTCACGCGGTTTAATACGACACCATTTTTCTGCAAAGAAGAGAGGAGAAGAACGATGAACCTTGACGGCACCGGTGTAGTGCCTACCAAGAGCTCTCCGACGATCAAGTTAGTCACCAAAGGTCTAAAAAGAAGGCAGGAATTTAATAATAGTTTTTTCGTCATACCTTATTCCCGAGTCGTCTCCTATTTATCATCACTTCCCTTATTCTTGATAAAGGAATATCATAATCCTTATCCTATGGAATTTATCCAATGGAAACCGTTATCCTTGATAACGAAATATTATCATTCAAAAGTAGAAGAGATTTGGCGGCTGATCAACATTTAGTTGCCTCTATCGTTAGGTCAAAATATGTTAGGTTTATTTTTCCCTATCAGTTGCCCCCTATTCCCAAGCTTGCTCGTCTAGTTTTGAGAATGTAAATTATTATTATTATTATTATTATTTTATTTATTTATTTTTTTGCCCCCGGCACTATTCATAAGGGAACAGTGCCCGCAGGTATTGTTCATCGCGGGTACTGTTCATTGAACAATAACATTTTTTTTTTTTTTTGCCCTGGGCACTGGCCCGCGGGTATTGTTCATTGAACAGTAAAGTTTTTTTTTTTTTTTGGGCCCCCGGGAACAGTGCCCGCCAGTACTGTTCATTGAACAGTAATTATTATTATTATTGTTATTATTATTATTTTTTTACCCTTGGGTAATCTTCCTTTGAGTACTATTTTTTAGTATCCTTGGGTACTATTTTTAGTACCCTTGGATACTTTTCCCTTGAGTACTATTTTTGGTACCCTTAGGTAATTTTCCCTTGGTAAGGGAATAAATTGTACGAGTTTTACTCAGGCCGTCACTCCTTTGATAAGGGAATTAAATTTTACGAGCTTTACTCAGCTCGTCCCTTTAGTAAAGGATTTTTATTTATTATCCCTTATAGTAAGGGGATAGTGATTACGGGATTCATTCAGCCCGGGTCCTTATAATACAGGATATTCATTTATTATCCCTTATAATACGGGGATCTAGATTACGGGATTCATTCAGCCTGGGTCCTTCTAATGCAGGACACTTATTTACTATCCCTTATAGTACGGGGATATGGATTACGGGATTCACTCAGCACGGGTCTTTGTAATACAGGACACTCATTTACTATTCCTTATAGTACGGGAATATGGATTACGGGATTCACTCAGCTCGGGTCCTTATGATACATGATACTCATTTATTATTTCCTATAATATAGGGATAGTGCATGTATAAAGATAATTGACCAAGAGTTAAGGCAACTAAAAGGAATTTCATTAAAGACCATCATTGCCTCAAGACTTATTGAAAACAAGATAACACGTGAGGGAGCTACTCTCCATTTAAAATGATTAACTGAGATGTCCTCAGTCTTTATTGTGAATGACTTGATAAGGCTAATTCTAGTTGTGAGACAATTTTTAGTCGGTATACTCATCTGAGTCCTTCTCATGATATGTGTAATCGCTCTGGTTGAAGAACTATCTCTTGTATTTGGTATCATTTTTCATCCCTG